GGCTGCCTCCTACTTGGAACTGCCCCCTTCCTCCTGCCTCTCCCCCCTCCCCCCAGCCCCCAACTACTTTGGGACGTCCAAGAAGATGGTGTGAAGGAAAGACGGCCCTGGGCTCCAGATAATCTGTCCCAATGGCCCCGTAGCCTCTACCGTGCACTGTGAGCTGGGCTTACGCTCCTTTACAGGACTCATTGAGCAAGAACTCCCAGTAAGTCCTGTAAGAGCAGAGCCCCATCCACATGGGCTTTGGGGCTAGGAAGCCATGATGACTTTGCAGTAAGCCCCAGGGAGCTGATGGTGGGGACCGACAGATGATGGCTGCTTGATGATGGAATTGTGGGGCCCAGGCATCCATCAAATGCCAAAAGCAGCAGAGCTTAACGGATGGGTGCTACCTAGTGGCCCGGGGGAGGCCAGGGAGGTCAGCCTGGACAGGAGGCTCGAGAGTGTGGCACCAGCCGAGTCTAAGCTGAAGAGCAGTGAGGTTACCAGCAAGGGATCTGGAGTCAGGGACACCGAGGTGCAAAGCCCAGCTTGGACATTCACTTCCTGTGTGGAAGACTTCCGTGAACTCTCTGCACCTGCTCCTCCACGTGTAAAATGGGGATGAGAGCAGCGCCGGCCTCATGGGTTAGGAACAACTTAACACACGCGAGTGCCACAGACAGAGCTGGTGAGCCATCAGTGAGCTTCAGCTATTGCCTTGACCCCCCTAGATGCCCAGACAGCTTTCTGAGCCCCAGGGGCGGGGAAGGATGTGGTGAAGGCACAGGGACTTCCTGGCCCCAGCTTCCACTGAATGCTCACACTGGCTGAGGCAGGAACAGCACTGGCCTGTTGCATCTCTGATCTCTACTCCTTCCTGTCCCACAGGGATTTCTGGTGCCGTCTGCAGGTGGGGAACCTGAGCCTTTGAGAGGTCTGAGGACATCTGGGTCCCCTGAGCACTGAGATTTCTTTGCGCTGCTGGTGTGACAGTGAGGCTGAAGCAGGCAGGCCGGGGACCAGGAGTCAAGGCCAGGCTGCTGAAGCCACCTGCTGGACTCTTCTGGACAAACGCAAGGCCCTGCAACCTGGTCCACGGGTCCCGTTGCAGTCGAAGCTGGCCTTACCTTCAGCAAAGCCACACACTCACCAGCCCGAGATCTGACCAGCCCTGTTTGCTGTACTGTAGTCAGCTTTTTTATACAGCATAAATCCACAGCTCGATTGCAAATGGAAATTCAAATCCATACACACATTGGTGACTAAGCAGTTAAGTGTCTTTCCTTGGTGCACTGGGGAAGGGGAGGAGAGGAGGGAGGGATGCCAAGGACCTGTTGCTGCACTGGTTCTAGAATCTAGGGAGCTGGTTCACCAACCTGTGATGTTTACTTTTGGGGGGGTGGTAAGAGAAGCAACTGAGGTCCAGGTGGCTTTGTCATCTCACTACCTCTGCAAACCAGCTGGTAGCCTTGACCCCTAGAACTCATGATTTAGCCTCATCAGTCCCTGGAGGACCGTCTGAAAAAACAATCATAAAAAATCATTTGTTGATTTCAGACATCTCTCAAGTACCAATTCTACGCTACCCAAAGTGGACACCCAAAGCAAGCACTGTTTCTGCCTTCAGGAAGCTCATGGTATCCGCAGCCCATAAGGCTGACGTGCACTTTTCACGCAACCCAAACTGCCATGACAGAATGCTGGGTGCAGTCCACGCTCCCGTCTGCAAGAGGCAGGCTAAAGGCAGGCACTCGGGTCATAAAGCAAAGCAGGAGGAATTAAAAAAAAAATAATAATAACAGAGTATTTGATGTTTTGTAAGCCATGAAGTAGATAGCATAGGGAAAAAATCCGAGTGTTGTAAGTGTTGTGAGTTTAATGTTGTGTTTATTCTTCATTACTTATTAAGGGGCATGGGAGCATTACACTGTTTCCATGCTCAGAAAGCCTTGCTCCAGAGAAAAGTAGCCAGGTGTGAGAATTGCTACACTGCAGGCATAAAACTGACAAACCTGACGGCCCCAGATCAGAAAGGAGCTGAGGGTGATCTAAGGTTTCCAGGGTGGGTAACTGGGGGGCGACAGGTGCCAGCAGGCTACACAGGGAGCATGGGAGAGAAGCAAATGAGTTTGCTTTGGAAGGGAACCATGTAGGGATATATGGGCTGTCTCGACCCAGAGTCTCCATGGACTAGGAAGCCAAAAGACATACATCACGAGAGATGTCTTGGCAGGACAGATCCGTCTGGAAGCTTCAGGGTGTGATGGTGGATGTCGTGGGCATGGGTGAGCTCACCTAGGGAGTGGCAAAAGGGGAATCAAACAAGAAACCAGACTTTAGGAAGTGAATGCTAACATCAGAGACTGGGAACACCCAGAGGCAGGAGAAAACTCAGCAAAACATGGCACTCCAGAAGCCCAAGGAAGAGAAATAGAGAAAGAAGGGGCCCAAAGTGCCTGAAGCCACAGAGAGGTAAAGGAAGACCTGCCGGAGAGAGTATAGTGGGTCTGGCAATTCAGGGGGGCATCATGGGTCCCTCCTAGCATGTTCCAGCGGAGTCCTGGGGACAGAGGTCAGACCTCAGTGGGTGCCTGGTGGTGTAGATGGGACTGATTGTGAAAAACAAAGACAGGACTGGGCTTGTTTCCCATTACAGATGCACCTGTTTATAGGCCAAAGGGAAAGGTATTCGAAGAAGGGAGAGTGACCGAGGGACTGCGAGGAGAGGAGGTGACTGGCAGGGGTCCCTAAGGAGGCTGAGGATGGCAGTGAGGCAGGGGCACCTGGGAAGGGGGTGAGGGAAGAAAGGAGAGGTAGATGAGGAGGGGTCCCCTTTTCAAATCCTTATCTTCTCCGTATCCAGTGATCACTGAACCAAGAAAGGGCGCCGGTTCAGTCCTAAGCATCTTTGAAAGTCAACAGCCTGCAGGGAACACAAAACCTAAGTGCTTCCCCCTGGAGCGGGCCGGGTCCTGGGATCTTCGGTCACCAAGTCCATTTGCAAATTACTGCCGCCCCCGTAAAGGCCAAATGAGGCAGCTCGGGGCAGGCGGGGTTTGAGAGGAAAGGCACTGGGAGCTCCGGAAGGCAGAGCAGGGTCTGCCTACCGCAGCCACCACCCCCAACTTCTCTGCTGACCCAAGCCCTCCGAGTACACGCATCTCGGCGAGGCAGGAATCCATCACGGAGGAGCAGCGCGCAAGCTCCCCTGGGTCTGGGTCGGCCTTTTTATTTCCCCAGCGACATGGCATGCCCCAGGGGCAGGGACAAACCCAGCCAGAAAAAACGGTTCAGACCCAGAGCAATTCTCCAGTTGGCTACGTCACAGCGGGGGTCTCGCACCGACAAGTGTCCTCCGAGAGGCCTGGCCGGCACCCGCCGCTGTGGCAAGTCTGGGTGACCGGCGGCGCCGGTGTGAACGGCCTCAGGGTGGGTGTGGGTGTGCGCCAGGCCAGAGCTCCCAGGCGCGCGCGCCGCGGGCGCCCCTCTCTGGGTGTCGGCGGCTATGACTCTTAGGAGAAGCCGACAAAGTCCGGTCAAGTAGGGAGGAGAGCGAGCCAGGGTTGGCTGCAGGCGCCCTTCCAGACCAAGAGCCCCAACATCCGGCGGCTAAGGGGTGGGCGACGCCGCCTGCGGGTGTAAGCTTCCAAGATGCTGGAAGCCGCCTTGGGCGCTCGCGCTCCCCACTCATGGGCGCGTACCGGGTCAGCAGTAGGGGGCCCCAGGGTGTTGGGGTGGCCGAGGCCAGGCCTTTGGAGGTCCAATCCATAGCTTACAAACATAAAAATAAAAAATCGACACTAACAGGCATGGCTCCGGGCTGCAGGTGTGTCGAGTTCAGGCCTGGGCAGCAGGTGTTTCGGGTTTGGGTCAGCCTGCGGGCTCAAGAAAAATGCGGCTCCAGGCGTCGGCGTCTGGACCCGTCCCCACCGAGCACAAGGAACTTAGCAGGTGGCGGCTGGAGCTGTGCTTCGGCGGCGTGCAGTAGGAGATTAGGGAGGGGGCCAGTCGAGGCCAGTGGCGTCCATAGGGGACAGGGTTCCCTGGAAGATCCGCGTGCCGCCCCCTGCGAGCTGCTAACTGCAGCCACGCGCACCCGCCGAAGTTCCGGGACTCTCGGCGCCCGCCGGGTCTGCCTCCCTCCCGGCCGCGGTCCCGGGGAGCGGGTCCCGCCGCCTGCGCCGCCGCTGCCGCAGCCCGGGCGCTCGCTCGGCTGCAGCAGGGCGCGGGAAAGGGCACTTTGGCGCGGAGTGGGAGCCGAGGGGAACGTGGCGGCGCGCGGCCTGGCGGCGACACTCCCTCCCCCGCCCCGGGCATAGTCCCCGCCCCCGCCTCCCCGCCATAGGACACCCCCAGCCCCCACCTTAGTCCTCTGGCAGTGAAGGCGCGGGACCCCCTGCCCGGGAAGCGCGTCCACCTGGACACCCCCACCCTCCACTTCCTAGGTCCGAGTGCGGGGTGGGGTGGGGGGGCGGCCGCAGGCTCCGGGCGGCTCCGGCGGGGGCTAGCTGGAGCTTCCGACCGAGAACATGGGCGGGGGCGGGGAAGGGCAGACCCTGCCAACGCGGAAATGGGGAGGGGGCGCGCGCGGCTCTCCTCCAGCCCCAGGACCCGCGTGCCAGGCGGAATCGGGAGCGGGGGGAGTAGGGCTCCGGGAAAGTTTATCCGGGAGAAGCCCTGGTACCCTGGGGGCTGGGAGGCTGGAGAAACTGGAGCCCGGGTCCAGGCACCCCGCAACCCGGGGCGGGGATGTCTGTCTCTCAGGCCCCCACGCCAGCCGGATCTGGCCAAGTTGCGGCTGGGGCTGGGGGTAGCGGCGAGGGTGAGGGCGGAGGTGAGGACGTGGTGGAGGGTGGGGCGGAGGACTGGGGGGCCGAAAGGGGCGAGGGTGGGAGGTGAAGGCAGAGGTGGGGGCGGGGGAGGGACCCGGACCGCGACCCGGGTGGCGAGGGGTGGGCTCCGGGCTGGGGCGAGGCGCGCGGCGGCCGCCGGCTCCCCGGCGTGGCAGGACTTACCCGCGGCGGCCGAGGCGCTGAGCAGCCCCCAGCCCAGCAGCAGCAGCAGCGGCGGCGGCGACAGCGGCGGCGGCGGCGGGCGGCCCCAGCGGCTCCTCGCGCCCGGTACGAGCGCCGAGATCCCGGCTTCGCCGCGAGCCCTCCCCGCGGGGCAGCCGCAGCGCCCCAGCTCCCGTGCCCGCGAGCGCGGCATGGCGCGGCCGGCAGCGCCGAGGGAGAGGCTCCGCTCGCCGCCGAGGAGAAAGGAGGTCAGGGGAGCTCTGGAGCTTTTTTCTGCTCGGAAAAAATCCCGGTACGCGGGAGCCCTGAGCTTCTGCGGCTGGAATGAACCAAGTGTCCGCCCGGCCGGGGAGAGGCGCGCTGCGCTCTCGGAAATGACTCGCTCCAATCCCGCTTCGCGGGGTTCGCGCCGGGGGGCGGGGGGTGAATTATCCCCGGATTAATCACTCCGGAGCCGCTTCCCCGCCGCTCCAGCGCTGGGGGTGGAGGCTCAGCCCAGGGAAGAATATTGGGGGGGTGGGGGCTCCTCGTCAGCGCCACCTCCACCTCCAGATAAACCACAGAACGCGTCCAAAGGGCTGTTTATTCCTGTTTGTTTTACAATTGACCAGTTTTCTTTTTAAGTTCGGTCCAGCCGTTCTCATTTATAAGATCCCGCATGAACACACCTCCCGCGCGCGCACACACGCCTCTTCCGCGTTCGGAAATGGGCAAAGGTAACCCAAGCAGGACCCGGCTGCCCAAGTCCTGGCTCTGGAGAGCTGATGCTCTTGGGTGGTGGCTTTGAACTTGCAAGCTGGGGCCGGGGGGCGATGCTGACGCGCCCCTTCCGCCACGGCCCTCTACCCACACGGTCCATCCCACACGGGGGGCGGGGGGCGCCGTGTACGTAAACAGAGGCCGGGTTAAGAACTGGGGGGAGGGAGTGCAGTGTGTGTTGGGGGGGTAACCTGTTCTTCCACCCGTGCGGTCCCGGCACCGAAGAGGGAGTGCCTTGCGGGGAAGGGGGAAAAGAGGGGGGAGTGAGGTTGGTGGATGGACGGGGCCAGAGTTACTTGTACAATTTATCCTCCCATTCCAATAACCCGACCCTTCCTCCTCCTCCTCCTCCCCACCTCGGCCTCAGACGAGACGAGTTTCTCCCAATGGCGTGAGCCGCTCCACACCTCTCCCCGGTAACCGCTGCCGACAGCCCCAAGGGCTCGGCGTCGGTCCCCACCCCATCCCCCCACGCCGACTCGGGCGCCGTCTACCCGAAGCTCCTCCGCCAGTCACGATGGCTCCCCAGCTGTCTACGCCAAACTCTCCGCGAGAAGGAAGAGACGCCGGGGGCGGGGGCAGCCGGAGCGGACCGGGCAAGGCCCGGCCGGGGGAGGAAGTAGGAGGCCGCGGCCGACGCGCACGCAGCCCAGAGGCACCTGCCGAGGGGTTGTGCTCCCGGTTTGGGAGACCCTAGCGATTTGGCCAGGCGGCCGGCGACTCTGGCATCTTTTGCGTGGCCCAGGCGGCATCCATGGGCTGGCCAGCGGCGAGGCCTTTGGCTTTCAGGGGAAGGGGCCTAGAGAGGGATTTGGGGTTTGGCGACCCAGGTTGGTCTGCAGGCCGCCCGCCGAGCCTGAGGATGGATTTCCGGGAAAGCGGATGCGGAGTTACCAGGGAGTTTGGGGGTGGGGGACGGGGGGGCAGGGCTAGGGGGTGGGTGCTTGTCCTTACTCCCCAGGAAAAAACTTGCTGCCCAGCATACTTTCACAGCCTCCTTGGTGCGGGTCTTCTTCCCCACCCCCATACCCGCAGCCCAAGTTATTCCGGTTTCCCTGCATGAGCTCATCCCGCAGCTGGGGGCCCTGCCCGGTGGCCCTGGGCGGGCCAGCCTCCTCCTCCTCCATCTCCTCCTCCTCCTCAGGATCGCAGCACATCCCCGCCCCCAACACGCCGGCTTTGCCGCCCCTCCCCAAGCCGCCCACCGCGGCTCTGAGTGCCAAGAACCAGCCGAAGCAGCCAGAACTCCTCAGTGAAAGGCCTGCTTTATGTCCCTGGGCAGCAGGGAGGGGGCTTCTAGCTTCCCATTGTCCAGACCCTGCCCCTGAAAGCGAGAGCCCAACCAGCAACGAATGCCCAGGCCCTGCCGCCAGCCCTGCGGAGGAGGGAGGCGCTGGCTGGGAGCTGAGTGGGCCGAGGCCTTCGGGGCTGTTCACTGGGCCTGGCCTGGAATGGGCTCTCAGCTCTTGACCTTGGGCCTTCTCTTGGGGGCAGCATTCTCCTCGGAGAGAGGAACTGGCAGAGTTGTCCAGGCCTCTTCTGCAGCCCACAGCTGGGCAGAAGAGAAACAGTGTCCAGGCAGCCCCTATTTCTGGGGCCCTAGCCAGTGGACTTGTGCCCAGCTCCTTCCCAGCCCCCCAACTTTGCTGTGTGGCTGTGCCTGGCTGGTAAGGTTTATCACCAAATCCCCCTGGCCAAAACAGCGTGTGTCATCCTTCTCTCTGGGGGCCGGGGAGGGCAGGGACACCCTTTCCACCCCTGCAAATGGCCCAGTTTCTAACATCCTCTGTCATCGGTGTCGGTGCTCTCTGATCTATTTGGGTCCACATGTGTGTACTGAGGGCCTCCTGTGCTGTGGGCAGTACAGAGCTGGGCCACTATCATCACCATGGCTGCCCGAGGGCGGAGAGCCACATCCAGACAGCTTTTCTCAGGCCTGGGGGGTCAGAAGGCTAATTTAAGGGGGCAGGGGGAGGATATTGGCTGGACTTGGAGGCCTGGACCAAGACTAACAAGGTGAAAATTTATTCACTCAACAGATATCTACTGAGCATCATTATGTGTCCGAGCTCTGTGCTAGATAATGAATCCAGCCCAGAGTGAACAGTCCCTGACTTGAAGGCAGGCCATAAATAAACAAATATGCAGAAAGTTTCTAATTAAGGACGCTATGAAGGAAAAGTTCACAGCACTGTGAGAATGAACAGGGAGGCTTGCTCTAAACTGGTGGACCCGATGAACATGAAGGCAGGGTCTAAAATTAAGCTACGCAGCCATGCAGAGTTGGAAGAAGGGGTTTTGGTCCAGAGAGCAGGGGAGGGGACTGGGTCAAGGGGAGGTGAGGTCAAGGCCAAAGGCAGGAACCAGATCATGTGGGGTCTCCGAGGGGGTGGCGAGGACTTGGGGTTTTATTCCCAGGTGGGGTGCTCGTCAGCTGGGCCTGTGCAGACTGGGTAACTTAAACAGCAGCAGAGTATGTTCTCCTAGCAGGTCTGGGTGCTACAAGTCCAAAATTGGAGTGTTAGCAGGGAGGGTTCCTTCTGAGGCCTCTCTGCTCGGCTGCAGGTGCCTCCGACAGGGACACCACCTCTATCGGAGTACAGCCTAAATGCCCATAGCTTCACTTAGTTACCTCTCACAAATAAAATAAAGTCTCCTTCCGAGGCACAGGGGGTCAGGGCTTCCATATATGAGTTGGGGAGGAGGCACAATTCAGCCCTTAAGGAGCGGGAGGTAGGAGACAGGGAGCAGATACGTGAGAGCCAGGTGCATGACAGGAAGGGGATGGCCAGCCCGACTGTGTGCAGCGTGCTGCTCCGGCAACACACACTCTGGAAATGATGGACAGCTCCAGATGCCAGAGGTGGGTTTCCATTTCTAGGAAATGGGAGCCAATTGGCACAGCCTGGCGGGTACTTGCTTCTCTATGGGGAATGGGAAGGAAGGGGTGGGTGGGAAAAGAGTGGTCACTTAGGGGGCTACTGGAGTAGTCTGAGTGATGCGGACAGAGGCAGAGACGCAGGCATGGAAACACTAGCAAGGCAATAGGCAGGAAGCGTGCTGATGGCCCTCCCTGTCCAGCCTGAGAGAGTGTGGATCTCAGCCCAGCCCCCAGAGTGAGCTCCCTGCCCCGTTCAGTCCTCTTGATGAGCAATAGGCAGCCTCGGGTCGAGGTCTCTTTACCATATCACATTGCAAAAAAATAAATAAAAAGCCCAATGCAGTGTAGTGACTTGCCCAGATAAGCCTAATATCCAGATAAGATCAGAGTTCGTTTTAGAAAGAAAACAAGGCCTGATGCTCTGAAGAACTCAGCCTGCTTGGAGGAGGAACTGCAGACTTGATGCCCTGAAATTTTCATTCTGACCCAAGAAGAAAATCAAAGAGCTTTCTAAAGCTGAAAGAGGGAGAGAGAGAGGGAGCACGCACACAAATGGGGGTACTCCAGCACTGTGCGAGCGGAAATGGAAGCGGATGGGCGAGTTGGTCTGCAGCGCAGAGCTCCAGGGTGAAGGCAAGGTGGGGGGCTTGGAGGGAAAGCTGGAGTCCTGGGCTGGGGGCAGAGACTCTGCACTCCCACGCATGATCAGACAGAAGGGAGGATTTCCCCGGGGCGAGGCTGTCGCTGTAGAGATGGCAGAGATCTGCCTCCCAAGGAAAGGTGGCAGGAGACACTCAGAAAGGAAAACCAGGAGGATCTGCAGTGGGGCTGTGGGGCCTGCACAACCAGGAGGCAGAGGGGGTAAGGGACTCCCCCCACCCGCACCCTTCCCATTTGGGCCGTTTTTCCAGGGCTTCCAAATGCTGGGGCCACTGGAGTCTGACCTCTTTGCAGAAACCTCTCTGGAAGCAAAGAAGGGGACAGAGCAGGCAAAGCACAGGTCAGGGCTCCCCTTGGGGCGCTGGAGGCCATACCTGCAGGACAGGAGCTGTGGCAGGCCATCGGCTGTACTGACAGCTCCTCCACTCAGCTGTGCCGTCGTGCCTCCATTCCTGTACTCATGCTGTTCCCTCTGCCTGCAGTGCCGTTCCCTCTCTCATCTAATTCCCTATAGGCACTCGCCTCGAGCATCAGGTTCCCAGGGGCGCCTTTCTTAAATTCCCCCGCTGGCTCCTCCTAATGAGCTGGACGCCTCTCTCAGCATGGACAGCTAGGGGACCCCAACAATTTCTTCTTCCTGTCCCCAGAACAGGACACGCAATTGAGAGTGATTGTCCACCAGGGGACACTCAGCAATGGGGCACACATTTTCAGCCGTCCAAGCTGGAGGGTGGTGCTGGCATCTAGGGGGCAGAGGCCAGAGATGAGGCCAAACACTCAAAATGTCAGCAGTACCACATTCTCACGGAGGAGTGGCTGCCCCACCAGAGCCCCGCTGTAGCCCCCATTGAAGCTGGGTGCCTTCGTGAGATGGGATTCCAGCCAGCCAAAGGACTACAAGCAAAAGCATGTGTGTCACTTCAGGGTGTACCCTGTGACATCTTCCCACTGTGAGTCCGTCTGCTGACAGGGTGCAGTGCATTAGGGTCCCTAGGGGATGGAAGAGTCACAAGATGGAGGAAGCCTGGGCTTCGAAGTCACCACACGGCAGGAAGTCATCCACTACCCAAGAATACCTGCATTACAGGAGCAGTGACCTTGCACAGCGTTGAGCTGTTGGAATATTGGGATTTGTTACAGCAGCTGGCAATGCCCTCATGCGTCCTTCCCTGGTTTTCCTGTGGTATCCTGCAAAGTCAT